GACTCACCTGGCTAACTTGATGCTGGGCATGATGAGAGGCATCATGTGGAATAACACACTGCTGCAGGCACATCTGCGCACGGAACGACAGCAGCGACAAAAGTACCAGCAAGACATTGCTGCTTTAACAACTGCCATCCGCGCCGAAGCAACGCAGCAGCAGCAACAGCATCAGCTGTTGAACTCCGCTCTCGCACGCATCAACAGCATTGAGGCTAACGCCTCAACAGCGCCAGGCTGCACGACAGACGCAACGAAGCAACTCAATGAGCGCATCGATCACGTCGTCACCATCATTGGCGACATAGGTGTTTTCAATGGGCCGGAAACGATCCGTAGCACGGTGGCCGCCATCAAGACGGACATCACCGACCTGCAGACGAGACCGGACGCCGCTACAAAGACTTACAAGATGCCGCACTTTGACATCAGCAAGTTCGATGACTACAACAAGTCGGACACCTTGACATGGTGGCAACGTTTCCTCACGGAAGCATCATGCCGCACGGTCCCGGCAGACGACATGATGAAGGCACTCTACTTGCAACTAATTGGAGGAGCGCAGGCTTGGATGAACCATCTGGCGGCTACCAACAAATGCACCATCGCCKAACTCCACACGCACATCACGTGGAAAGAGTTCGAGAAGCTATGGTTCACCCGGTTCATGGTCCGCAACGTTGTGAAGGCGGCCATGAACGAGGTGTACACCTGCTCTCAAGGAAATATGCCAACTCGAGACTGGACAACCAAGTGGCAGAAGATAGTGACCACGCCAGGATTCGATTTGAGTTTTCCAAATCAACAATCCAAGTTCTTCTCGCGATCGTGCGCGGGACTGCGGTCGGCACTCGGCAACGAGTACGACTATGACACGTTCTAGACCATTCTGGATCGTGCGAACTTAGTCATCCAAACGGATGAGAAGGCTGCAAACGAACGGCAGTCCCATCCGCATTATGTGGCTAAGCAGGGCTATCAACGTCCGACACATAACAATGCCGTGATTTATGAAGAAACAAACGATCTCCACGTTGCAGCAGCATCCTCGAGTGATGGAGGAATTGTAGCAGCGCTCCCGCCGAAGCGTCCCAAGAAAGTTTGGAAGAACAAGGCGACACAAGAGACAGCATCGACGGGAACTGGGCAGCAGCCATGGACGTCTTACAAGATAACCAAGGATGTCTATGACCTTCGTCAAAAGTACAGATACTGCCTCTGGTGCAACGGCGTCACTCATGTGACCGTACAATGCCCCGAAAAGGGAAAGGCACGCGTACCCCGTCCAGCAAACTCGGGAAACTGAGTTACGCAAGGAGAGGGGCTACGTCTCTCCTCACTCCGCCGGACCCGGTTGCCTTGCTAGCAATCGATGTCACTACCGGGGAGCATGCGTTAGTCGCCGATTCTCGTGCCACGTACGAGGATTATGCCGCCCAGCTGGTACCACCATTAGACCAGCCAAGCCACGTGCACTTAGCTAGCGTATGCGCAGCCTGTACACCGTCGGCAAGTGATCCGGTCAGTTCGCCACTGATTTCCGAGGACTCGACGGCGTGGTCGAGACTTGAGGAGCTTGACCCGCTCACGAGAAAGGACTTCGCTTGGATGCCTCTACCCTCGACCGGAACCTTGCCAAGGCCGCATTGCAATGTCTTGATGGCAACTCTACGCTCCTATTTGCACACTACAGTACCAGCTCCGTTGACGGACGATGGGGTAGCGGTTGTCGATCTCCGCTCCTATCTTGCGAAGATTGACCGCGAGTACGCCACCCAAAGGTACGCCGATACCGACGCACCTTTGCTCTATATCCGCATTCAAATCGAAAAGGCAACCTGTAGTGCCTTGATTGATTGCGGAGCGTCTCGCAAATTTATGAGCCAAGCCTTTATGGCCCGCGCAGGTCTTGGCCCGCGCGTTCGAAGGAAGACGCAACCTACGCAAGTTACACTCGTGGACGACCGCACGCAAAAGTCAATTGACCGATGCGTTGACGGCGTTCCGGTCAACTTTGTGCCACTTGCGTGCGAGCCGGTGTCTTTTGACATCCTGGACACCAAGTTCGACATGATTCTAGGCATGTCTTGGTTGCGTAGCGCCGATCATCCGGTGAACTTCCATGACCGAACCGTTCACATCCGTGATCGGAACGGAGTGTTTGTCCCATGTACGGTCGCGACCCCTCACACTTCGATTGCTTGTCACGTGGTTTCCATTGCGAGAATTCGCGACGCCATTGCTCGGAATGACGTCGAGGAGATGGGCCTTGTATTCTTGCATGCTCTCCCCTCGCCGGA